GACAGAACACAGTTTTATCATTAAACAAACAATAAGTGGTCAAATCCGAATTACTTCTAGGTTCAGCGGTGACGACCAAAAAATAAGTATAATTCAGACGCAAAGGCAATTAATCTTTTGGATAAAGATTGTGAAAGTCACCCCCAGAGTAATAGCTGGACGAGAGATGTCACGTTGAAACTTGTGAACATTTTCAACTCAAGTGTATCAATAGGAAATTACAAGTACCATTCTTTCCAGTAAGTCTTCAGGATAATGATTAGTAACTGAAGTTTTAACGAATTTGGAGAACTATAAAGTATCCTGTCAAATTATCGATGTAAAACTTTATTGTTGCAGGCTTCCTGACTTGTTGTTAGGCGTCAGTACAGTCCGCTCGCGGAAGTCAATGGCTTTTAACATGTAGGGCCAGTGAAATACCGCTGAACCCTAGCCAAATCACCCGACAGTCGAGTCGCTGAATATCGAACTGTTCCCCGATTTTCGTCAAAATCAGTGGCAACCGACGAACATTGGTTAATTGCATGCCATGAACTGGTCCATGCGGTGAGGGTCTCACTCTGTTTCATGTATCTACAATTAATAATGTATTTCTGTGGTAATCGTTTGTGTTCAAATGGTTCAAATGGTTGTGGATGGAATAGAAGAAGCTTTCGCTTAACAGGCTTCCGTGTCTAGTATCAGGGATCACCAAATCCTCCAGGTAGGAACCTAGGTATCTTAACAATAAAACAGGAAAAAGAAATTGGTAAGTCATAGTATGATGCTGTCCTTGGTCCTCAAGAATAGGTCAAGTTGCCTCTTGAAGGACTCCTGGGAAGCCGCTTGGACTAGCTCAGCCGGCAGCGAGTTCCAGCATTTGACAACTCTTGAGGAGTAGAAGTTATGTCCACATTACGTTTTGCTACGTTGTGCCTCCAGTTTCTGAGTGTTACCCTTTAGGTTAGTGTCGAAACTAAGCTTAAGTAGGTGTTTAAGAGGATGTCCAGAAGTGTTAAGAATACTATAAGCCATTAATAGATCACCTCTAAGACGCCTATACTCTAATGGATAAAGGTATAGTGAATGGAGGTGCTCTTCGTAAGGTTTAAATGTGAGTCCTTGGACTGATTTCGTGGTTCGCCGTTGGATACGCTCCAAAGTGTCCTTATCCTTTTGGAGTGAGGGGGGAGTACTATGTTCCTGTACTCTAAATGGGGACGGATGAAACTATTTAAGATTGTATGGAAAGTTCTACCGTCAAACTGGCCAAAACTGCTCTTCAATGTTACCAGTGCAAGGTTTGCTCGGAAGGCATTTTTGTCACAGTTAGCGTAAGACTTAAAATCATGGGACACAAGGACTCCTAAATCTTTTTCGACTTGGAATGCTACTAGAGAGGAGTTTCCTAAGTTATAACTGTAGCCTGCGACATGGACTACTTTACACTTTGAAGTGTTAAAGTAAGTCCATTATTATCTGCCCAACTTTGGAGTCGAGTCAGATCCTCCTGAAGTGCTTGTATATCGCCTTGATTACGTATCTCTCTCCAACGTTTAACATCATCGGCAAAGAAAAAAAATTCAGACGTTACCTGTTGAGGAAAATCATTGATGTAGATCAAGAAGAGAAGAGGTCCTAGTATTCAGCCCCGGGGGACCCACTAGGACATTCCACAGCCTGAAATAAAGTGAAATTAACCCTGACCTTAAAATGTCGATTTATTAGGTATGAAGTAAGCCAACTGATTAGAGGTGGTTTGATACCCAACCGTTTAAGTTTATTGATAAGACATATATGGTTCACCTTATCAAAAGCTTTTAGAAATCAAGATAAATGATATAAACCTTCCCCTTGCGATCGAGGACGCTTGTCCATCTGTCCACCGCAGTCAGTAGGTTGGTTACACAAGAGTAGCCCCTCCTGAAACCATGCTGTTGGGGTGAGAAGAAATTTAAGGACAGTAGATAGTCATTTAAACCGTCGCATATCAGGGACTCCATGAGTTTTGAAGGTAATGACAGAAGAGCCACCGGCTGATAACTTGAAGGTTCATCGCGTCGACCATCTTTGAAAATTGGTGTGATGTGAGCCAACTTCCAATCTTCCGGTAGTTTGCCCCGGCTAAGCGAGTGTGAGAACATCACGCTAAGCGGCGTTGCCAGGATTGAGGCTGCTTCCCTCAGTGTGGCAGAATGGACCATTTCCGGGCCAGGAGAAGTGTCTAATCTTAAGTGCTGCAATTTCCGAAACACCAAGCCAGCGCTTAGGTTACTTCGAAAGTCCTGTGAAATTGCAAATGAAACTGTCATCAGTAAAGTTAATGTCGGTCGGTTGAAATGTCTGGGAGTAATGTTCAGCCAGAAGGTTAGCGGTGTCGCCATCGTTGTTGGTTGTGCCGTTAAGACCCACCAAATGGGAAACTCCAGTTTTGGCTTGACGAAAGAGGCTACATAACTAAATAAGCTCTTAGGATTAGAGGCAAATTTGTCCATAAGCCTTGTCTGGTACTGAAGCCTGTCTCCTCTTATAGCCTTCGTGCATATGTTCCTCATATGTTTATATTGCCTGTACGCTCCGTCGTTGTCAGTTCGTTTGTATTCCGCCAAACAGCGCCTTTCGCGGCTTAGCAGGCGAAGGGTACAGTTCTTGATTATTGAAGGTGGCTTGCAGCTTTTGGGGACCGTTTGAGGAACTGAATGGTTTGTAGCACGTAAGAGCGTGTGCAGTAAGAATTCCCAATGACCGTCCACGTTGGGTTGGGGGTGAACATCCCAAACCACCTGTTGTAGATAGTCGTGTAGAGCTGGCACATTCAACCGTTTAGAATTCCAACGCAGGTTATTGGTGGGATACCTTAGCTTAGTTTTGCTGACAAAACTGAAGACTATGACAGCATGATCGCTTTTTCCCAAGGGAGCCAGGATTGAGAGGTTGTCAACTAGGAATTCTTCGTTTGTGAATACACAGTCTCAGAGCGATGGTGTCTGACTTTCTCCAACGAGTTGCCGACTTCACATTTTCGTATAATCCCAAATTCTCAATGAGGTTGAAGAACCGAGCTTCAGTTGAATTTTCACCCCAATATACGTATGTTCCGCGAAATTGACTCTAGGGAGATTGAGGTCCCCCAGAATCAGGATATGGGTGAGACCGAGACGCGTAGAGCGGGATAGTCCTTCCAGCATACGACTGTCATACTCGATGTCAGCAGTGGCTTCCTATATATGACTCCGACTAGGCACCTCAAATTAGTAGGCAATCTTACAGAGCACCATACAGACTCATCAAGATTGTTAAACTCATGGTTGTGAACTTGGTGTACCTCCAAGCAAGATCGTATGTATACGGCTACGCCACCCTAATTCCTGTTTTTCTGTCGTTGCGTAACAAAGATATCCCAGGTGTTGCTAACTCCTGGTCCGAGAACTGAGAAGATATCCAGGTTTCAGATATTCCTATCAGATTGGCCTTATTAGCGTTGCTAAGTTCACGCAATTCATCCAATTTGTTTGGTAGACTCGCGGCGTTCATGTATAAGGAGTTTATGGTTTCAATTTGAAACGCGTGAGCTTCGTCCTGTTTGTCTGTATGAGCCTTACGTGAATGGACAGGTAGCCCACCTATATGAGGTTTGCCGAGGTGGTAGGCCATGTTCTTTACACGTTTTTTATCGTCTAGACAGTCCACAAGTGGAGTGGTCAGCTCCAACTTGCTTTGTGTTTGGTCCTAGCTTCGTATGGCATGTGGATTCCAGGTGTCAATTGACGTCTGTTGGCACGAAATGCCATGTGGGAAGGTGGGTAGTTTATCTTTATTACCCGGGGTCCCGAATCACCGTCCTTCTTGGCTAGCTCGTCATATGTTGAGTCAGTATGTTTTTGAGCCTCAAGGACTACTTGATGAATTTCCATTCCCTAATTATCAGAGTTTGCTTGACTAGGGTTCGTGTTTTCCGGTACACCTTGCACAATTATATTTCTTCCGCGGAAAAACTTCTCACGAGATTCTTTAGATGTGTTCCGGATGAGATTGCGCTCAGAATACGGTATGTCGGGCAGTATTCTTACGTTCCCATCGGATTTCAGTAAATGACTAGCTAGGAGGACATCCTCTACGTCGGTAGCATTCTTAAGTGTTACACGAAGTGGACTTGGGTGATTTTGATGCTTAGATTCCTTTCCCCGAGTGAGCCGTGTGATCGTCAGAGGCTGTATTCTAGGAAGTTCAAGCTTCTTGTTCAATTCTCCCCAGAGCATCCTGTCATTTTTGTCCTGCAAACTGGGAGGAAGGTCAGGGTTGTCTATGAGGTTCATGATTATGAGAGTCATCACGAACCGTTATTGTTTTCCCAGGTTTTCCGGTGTATTCAGGTTAAGCACCTTGTTGTTTGGAGGTCGAAGTACGTTTCTGAATCCCAGGCTCTTTGATGACCGGACGGACATTCTTGGGGGTAGACTGTGCGACAAAGTCACTAGTTGTTTTCCTTACAGCAACACTTGGGATGCTCAGCTTAGGCGGTGACAACTGGTTCTTCCTAGCTCTGTTAACGTGGGTCGAATCAGGATAGATTTTTTATAACTGAAATGGTACTTTTGTTGCGTAAGAACACAGCAAAGTTTGATAAATGCAAATCACGTTAGGACTAAACTTCCCGTCCGAAAAACGCGCGTGTTGTACGGTCTTCAAAGCAGTCATAGTGCGAAAGGGAAATCCATCTTGGCCATTAGCCGTAAGGTTGAACTTCGATGTTAGCTGGTCGGTCTCACTCGATTAGGTCCCCAATCATTTTATACAGACAGTCTACTATGGTGGTCTACAAATGGATAGGCGTTCTCAGGAATAAAACTTACTGATATCATTGAAAATCGTAAAGAATCAACAGAAAGTCATTAGTTTTTTATTGTCATTGTTGTGTTGTGAACGGTCGAAATATTTAGTCAGCAGATTATTATTGCTGAAATTCAACCTTCACTTGTGGCGGCTTTTCAGAGCTGTTAAGAAGGCCTTTCCGTCTCGCGATGTTGCTCGTGCTTTGGTTGGTTGTATTTGTCATTGAAACACCATATGGTAATTGGAAAACTATCACCCTAAAAAATTTTAAGGTGCGTCCACAATAGAACAGTACTTGCAATTCATCCCTGTTAGTGGAGTTAGACATGACATCTTTTTCTATGAACATCCTGGTCTGCGAAATCCCATTGAAATAGATGCCACTATTAAACAGCAAGTTCGCATCAGGATTGTAGAACATCTGAACGAGCTTCCCGTGTTAAGAATTCATTGTGTTGTTGCTCCCCTCGATTCGACTCATGAACTCGTCTCTGCTTACTTATGTCGCAGGGTAATTTACCATTTTGAATTATTAAAATTGTGTAATGTGGAGTTTACTAACGTTTTTATCTTGTTTGTTTGTTTCTGGCTGATTTGTATGTAAATAAGCTGTGATTCCCATCACGGTTTATGTACTAGTTGTTAACCGTATGTTGTATGCTAGGGATGCCACACTATGAAGCAGAAATCAATCATGAAATATGCTGATAATCAGCTTTTTATGTATTCTAGGTAGGTTTAAATCTGTGGAAAGACCATGGGATACCTTTAATACCCTTTGTTCTCGTTACAGTCTTCTGTCTACTCTGCTTACATCCGTTCGTTTCGCATGCTCTATCTGACATGCTCTGCAGAATCTCTAGAACTGTTCACTCAGACATACGTTGTACATTACTCGAGCTAAATACGCATTTGTTTACATTTTGCCGCCAATTTTTTTGAGCTGAAGATGTACGTAGTAAAATTAGTCAGAATGATTAAAACTTGAATGGTTCTGTTACATGAATTTTGATTATGTTGCAAGTAGTTGGAGTTAACTCCTGTCAGTTCTAAAAATGGTTCCAAGTGCTGTGGGTCCTTACAGTTTCTAGTTCCCTGTACATGATAGTTGAGTTGAATTTATTTCTAATAACATCACAAGCTTACTAACATCAACAAATATGTTAGGATTAACATCAAGATGGGAAAATCAGCTTCAAGATCGTGGCGGTCAGGAGTTGGGATCAAGGTTTTCATTGCAAACCGATACCAGCAATAATGTAAACTTTTTATAATCCATACCCTATTTCTTAGTCCGGGGATTATAACTTATTCACTTATCTTTGCTATCTTTCTGATGAGTTAAAACAGGTCAATGCCGGCAGTGTACGTTATGTCCAGCCTATGTTCAATAAACTAACACAACGACAGTCTTCGTAAATGTAGCCTAAATATTCGAGTAAGCAAAAGCCCAATGGACTCCATCAAATTATCTGGTCTACGAGTCTCGGTACATAGTTAAATTGACAAACCAATCTTTTTAGTGTTGACCACTTCATGTATTTTAAAAGTCTAATCGATAATTTTTGATTTACCACCGACCAACTCATGATACCGAGAGGAGTACTAACCATTTGTGGCAGATAATTTACTTGATCATACTTTGAAAAATCAAGCGTGCTGCATAGTTTCCTCCTCGCCTTGTTACTTTTGTAAATATGGTTTTGAAATGTTGCTCTTACTTGGTCGTTGTTATTTTATATTTGGAAGTATCCTAACCTGTACACATTTGTTTATCTAGCTTTAATTTCCGTGCTATTTTGTTCATGAACCACTTATTTTCTTGATTATTCCAGAAGTCTACGCACGATTCGGATGAATGCATTGATCCTAAAACAAGAAATGTTATTTTCGGTCGGGTTGAGTTTAGCGCTAATGGCAATAGATCTTCAGGTATTTGCTTATTGGGTGTTAACTATTTTTTACAGGCTACACGTTTTCTTCTAGGCTACCTGTTAAAGATGAACTACTTGACGGCTTTTACTTCTGCAAGTATCATAACCGGAATGGAGAGCTAATTTCAAATTTCATTGAAATACAGGATGCGTATTACTATCACAAACGTAAGTCTCGTTGTGCCAATTAAGTTCGAGTAGTATTTTATTGTTTATGGTAAGTCAAATATTAAGTTGTTATTTATAGTATACAAAATGCGCTAAATATTAGTCCGGATTATCACAATTCATACCACAGGTTGCGGGAATTAGAAAGGGAATAACAATTTTTTGTGATAGTGAAAAATTACACATCAACCATTTAGTTATAATCAACATAGACCCTAACACAAATGTGCATCGGCACAAGTTACTGTGCCACATCAGTACCGCGAGACGAAATTAACAAAACGAATCGAGAAAAAGTCAAGATGACGGTAGGATCCATAAGAATGCGGTACAAAAAACGGGTCAATCTGAAGAAAAAAAGTACAAAACAATATATTGAGGACAAAGAATGGATCCATCTCTTTCACTGCGACTAATTTTCAGTCGTTTTACCCGAAAATTGGAAGTAACAAATGTAGTTCGAATCAGAGTAAAATGGAATAAAAAATATGGAATAATATCAGAATAAGTTTCAGAGAAAGGCGAGTCACATACATTTGCACTATTGCTGATAATTTAAAGTTATTTCACTCAAGGTTTCCAACCAATAATTAGTATTTTTTCCAATATGGTCTTATCTTAAAATACACGGACTTTTATCCACATAGATGCGATTACCTAATTGCCCCACCTATGACTTAATCGATAAGTATATGTTTGTGCACTCGACTTTGAAACACAATGGGCGACTCGGTAATGTTAACTAAGTTTCCTGAACCTACAAAATGGAGCGAGATTGGGACCTGCCATCTTCTGGTTGAAAACCAAGCCCTTTAACCACGAAGCCATTTCTTCACAAAGAAAGGATTCAGGTAGTCAGGTATAATCAGTAATCTTTATACGACTGGTACCCACAAAATTCGTTTGACTATTGAGCATACTTTAAGCTAAGCTTGAAAATGGAATGTCATGAATGTATGTGTGCTACTCAGTAAAATTACATTTTCACCCGAAGGAGGCCTGTCATAATCTCTGGTTAGCTGTAAAAAGTAACAACCTTTGTCAAAGAGTCGGGACAGTTTATGGGATTTTATTGATCTAGAAACCTGTCCCGAAAGACCACCAGATATGAGTAATCCGAAAATAAATTGACGACAGATTTACACATTGGTGGTAAGCACTGACAGGAAGAAACGAGATGCAGTAGGGATAAGTAACTTTTGACAGTTCTTTAAACTAATAAAAATATCGAAGTTAAAATACTAAACTTTAAAGGGAAGGACTCAAAGATTGAACACCAGTGATCCACTGTCAGACTAAGCAAATGAAACGATGTGGGAAATTGCAGAATGACATCTACGTAAACAATGTTGCCAGTGCAGATCGCTGTACGGCTTTCATTTGTCATACATCATGTTTCATCATCTTGTTTTCATACCTAAAAGTGCTTTTGACAACTTTTTGTCTTATATTTTCCGGCCATATTCATAGGTATGGTTAGACGACCTGTAAAGCAAACTGAATATTTACCTCCTTTATCTATCAATGATCTTCCCTTGAGTCTGGAATGCGGACAAACTCAAGTATCTGAAGAGTTGCCAAGTTGGGCTGATGCAGCGTTCCCCAGTCCGTTTATGTGGTCATTTTGTGATGTAGACAGCCCTGATGGTATACAGTCTGCTGGGTGCATGCGTAGAGTTCGTCAAACATCTACTCATGTTACAAATTATTTTGAAAGTTATGTTTCTCCGAACGGTAAGTTTCATCCCTTTCTACTTAAGTTGTGGACTATTATAAAAATTACTTATTTTTCTTCTTATTGACTAGAAATTTGTAGACTGTAATGGACGTTCATTAAGGTTAATTTATTTGTGAATTTACGACGCTAAAATAAACACAAGAATAAATCAAAAGTTACAAAAAGAAAATAGTCAATTAAAGAATTTTCTGCCTGTCTACGAATCGAGGTTGATTTAGTTGCTAAAGAGTACACTGACAGACTATTAATTAAACTATATTTTACTGGTAAATAGCATTATCTGGCAAAATTTTTTCGCTTTACCCATATTCATCTTTGTAGTATTTGAAAAAAATATAATCTCTTTGATTTTCTTATGTATAAATTAATTAATTAGCTTTTACTTTTATGTCAGCGATTTAAGATTGATTGTATTCCTTCCTTCATCAGGTACTTTGGTGTTATATAAGCGCACAACGTCAGCATGGAAAGATATGGGTTTGGTGTGCTGGAGCCACTTGGACTCCTCAGCTGTTTATTCTACCTATTTTGGTGGTTCAAGTGAGCGGCCTAAGTTGTTGACTTATGACTCCAATATACCATTCGTTGGTAGTGGAATTACTGTATTATCACCCCTCACACAAAGGATTACTGTTCGAATTGGACCAGTGAGTATAGAGCATGCATTCTTTTATGTACTAGTTTATATTCTGACAGCCTGTGCCTAGGGCTTCATATTTATGTGACTGAGGTTGTTTGTACTATTTTCCACTGAGAAATTACTATGGTCACTGCAATTGCATCGATTACAGTAGCTGTAATGTATACTTCAAATTAACTTCTCTTATACTTTATGCTACGCAACTCAGTCATACTTTAAATGACGTAACAATGATCAGTGATTAAGAAAGTTTTCTTTGCTTCACCATAAGACAAACTTATATAACATTTCATCAAAGTGAGAAAGCATTACTAGTTTTGTGTACTTTTAATAGAACTAGACACGAAAAACAAACACAATTCAGGTTTATTAGTTTGTTGGTTCAAGGTACCACGTCTCATCACATATAGGCAGGGTGACTGAAATTCAAAAAGGAAAGTAAATGCAGGTGATTGTAATCAACACATTAGTAAATAAACAAGGCCAAAATAAAGACAACAAATCAACGCAAGAAATAGAAAAGTATCAATTCGTTTAATATTAGTTGCATAAAGAACAGATCCAGTCGTGTATCATTCCTTACGAAAATATGAGATGAAGAATAGTGTTTTAACTCAATAACCTACCACGTACTAGTCCGTGTAGCAGGCAGTCACGTTTCCTGTGAGGAGAGATCATATTGCTAACTATCCATAAATAAGTAGTTAGAGTAGATGTCATTCTAGGATTTGGATAAAATATTTACATTATCATTTATTTAATTAAGTATGATTTACTTGAATTAAAAACCAAGTTATAAAGTTACCCAAAACTGGTATAACTTGATACAAATCGTTACGTACAATACCAGCATAAAATACTCTGAAAATGGTAATGAACCATATTTCGTAATCTGATTCTTTTATGGAGTAGAAGTTTAATTATTTGGTGAGACCAATTTTCGATTATTAAGATAAGTGAGTAGAATGCCAATCGACTGACGGTACGCAGTTATAGGAAGCGTCGTGGATTGATGGTGGCCCAGGCGAACTAAATATTGACGTAAGCCTCCATTGATGGCATGGTGTTAGGCTTATATACGAAATATTAGCACAAAAAATGACGATAAAATGTTATAAGTGATGAGAGAAAATCAGTTTATATGGAAGTATGCATACTCATAAGTCATTCTTATTTGCAATTAGTTGTTGTGCGCAGACCTTTGCAGGTCACTAGTCAACTAAAGGACTTACGTTTTGGCTGATGGACCTAATATCTGACCTCCATATCAATCGTCTTTATAGGCGATCAGGACTTTGCTATGATATAAAGGTCTCTGACACAGATTTATATCGATATTTTCTTTTACGTTACCGAAAATCCTCGAGTTTATGTGTCGCTATTAGTTTGATAAAATCCCATTCCAAACCATTACATTTCTTAAAATTTTAGCGAACTGGTCTCAAGTTAGTCACTAAGTATCGATCTACTCCAGAGTACACGACTGTTAAATGGACCAAAGACGGCAGAAGAATTCCACCTGATTTTCCAGGACACAGTGATTATCTCTTGAAGTTTCCTGATCTCATTCGCCGAGAGCACTCTGGTATGTTTCATGGCTTTTTGTGATGAATGGTTGCTAGTTGTTTATTATATTTCAGTTTGTTTGTTTGTTTATGTTCCAATAGTTCAAAGCTAGTAAATCTATTGGAATAGAACAAGGCCAATGTTTTCGGAAGGATTACTTAATCAAGTAGTTTTATTAATTAGTTTTCTAATTTTTTTCATATAGCTTTCCCTCAAATTAGTTCTGTTCTTTCGGGTTATTACGAAGTTGTTTTACTTACAGGGATGATTCAAGCTTCTGTATCTGCCTTTATGTTTCGTTTCCTAGTTGATGTTAATGTCCTTGGATAGTTTTCAACAGTTTTTATACTTGCTGAACATAGTACTACTGTCATAGGGATGTTCTTGGCTTTTAATTGACCATATTACATTGATATTATTTTGATAGCCTAGGGATCGATTGGAAGCAGTTTTTCTGATACATCAGCGGTCGAACAGGAAAACATCGTGAAAAAGTCAGGAAAAGGCGATCTTATGAGACGTAATGTGGAATTACATTAAGTTGTGTGTTGTTATACAGCCAATCTTTTAACAGTAGATATTGAAAACTCCCTATGAATAGGAACATTTGATTCTTGAATAAAAGTTTGGAAAGACATCCGAGGGACTTAAACCTATGAAGCGTAATTGACAGTGTATCGATCATATCTCCAACCATCACCATAACTTAAGACATTACATTCAGAAGTCCTTCATTCTACCTATATTTTCATACACAATGACTTAATTTAGTTTCGTTGGTCAGCATCTTTAGTGACTAAGTTTGGAAAAGATTTTAGAACAAGTTTATTATGTTATTTAAACTTCATTCGTCATTTACCACGTCATAGTTTCTGTCTTTGTTTTGTTTTGAGGTTGTCTAAATATACTAATACTTATGATGTTAACCTGTCCAGTAACCAGATTCTTATTAATTTGCTAACAGCTTTGTTTGAACAGTTGCTTAATCTTTTCTATCTACTCACTGTTTCGTTCTAATCTCATTCACTCCTGTATGTATGTATGTATATATGTATGTATCTGTTTTTATACTTCATCCACTAAATTTATACTCAAGCAAAAGACAAACACTTGCCGTTCATGTATAAAGTTAGATTTGTTTACTTGATTGCCACTAGTTTCCTCAGTCTGTTTCCTTTCATCGATCTGGTAAGTATTATTCAAAGTCGTGCAAAATTGATTTTCCTTTGAATTAAAATTCAACACTGCCATGTATTTTTGTGGAAACATATAAAATAGTCTTTGTATTATTTGTTATGTTTTTGCTTGTTCTCTTAAGGGACTTACAATTTACTTGTGGAAAATGGGAATGACCAAGTTAATTTTCAGTTCATAGTGAGTGTAGTCGGTCCACCTGAAGTGATACGTGCTCCTCCACCTTTACTTTTAGTGATGGAGGGAGAAAATGTTACATTTAGCTGTCAGTTGGATTCGTTTATAACGGAGGTAATTTACTTACGAAACATGTTCTTTTATGTAGAATTATCATACTTTAGGTTTTAACTAGGATTGTTTTTATTGCACTAGCATTTATGTATCCATCATATTTTATGCTGATCTTACGGAGTAGAACAACTTTTTTGAACACGGGTGAAATCTTTATTTAGATACTGGTTAATAGTTAACATATAGTAATAATCTTATTTAAAATCAGTTTTCTGTCGTGCAGCTGTTGGGAACTAGTAGTACAGTCATTTGACTCATCTTTTTATTTATTTGAACATATAAACATTGGTACAATGGGGCACCAAATACTTCACACAATAACAAGGAAGTTGTGAAGAGATAGATAATGTAAAGTGTGTACAATAAAAAGAACAAGAAACGAGCAGAAATTAGTGTATGAGAGTAAAATAATAATAGTAATGGGAGGAGCAGTTCAGCTAGGAAATATACAACCAGAAGGGATTTCAATTAAAGAAGTCACATTCACTTTTATGAAAAAAGTAGGAACCACAGCAGGATCGCCACTGGTTTCTATTCTGAGTCATATCTGATAACATCTCTAGTCACCGTGTTGCACCATCTCTTGGGCCCCAACTAGGGAGTAGTGAAGGACCAACGAAAGCCAGTCCTATACAGTTTTCTTTCATACCATGAAATCATGTCATACACTGACCACCTCTCCTCTATTTCCAACCAGTCCCAGTGTCGGCAAGTAATGCACGACGTGAGATTTACTGGGACGACATTCGTAAGGCATGTCCAAGCCACCGACGTCGATGTTTGAAAATGGTGAAAGCAACTGGATTATTGTCGCTAGTCTGAACACAAGATTCCGAACCTGTTCATTACTAATATGGTGTTGTCACTGGATGTCACCAATCCCTCAGAGACAACGATAGTCAAACACAGAGAATCGTTTAACATGCTCAACTCGGAGAGGCCAGGTTTCACAAGCATACAGCAAACCTGCTCTCACCAATGCGTTGTAGATCCGACCTTTTACAGCCAGACTAACAGCACGAAGGTGCCAAAGATGACCCAGATTGGCATGAGCCGCTCTGGCTCTCACTATACGTGAATCGATCTCATCACTCACGCCACCACCAGCACTTATGCAGCCACTCAAATACTCAGACCTCCTGACTACTACCTGCCCACTACTCAATGTGAGTGCAGGTTCAGGGTTTTGCCAGTCCTGTAGAACTACTTTGCACTTGTAAGGCTCAAAGCACATACTATACCTACGGACGCTGATTGCCTGCTGACTAAGTGTGGATTGCACGGCTTGGGTATTATAACACAGTAAGACAATATCATCCTCATATTCAAGGTCGAAAAGTTTCTCCAGGAAACAGATCCACACCTACATTATCTACAGTCATCAGAGCTGTTTCGGGAATGTGATCGATGGCAAAGTTGTAGAGGGATGGTGAGTTGTAAGGAACCTGTAGAAACCTAGTGCTTATAAGCAGGACATTTCGCAAAGCTGCAGGCGACTTCACTTGCCATTTTCATGACTTCATGCAACAACAGCCAATACTCGTTTATGCTGTTCGGTGGCCTGGTAGCTAGTGTTGAACCTAGCTCGTTTTGATATTTAGTCGCAAGAGAAGCTGCAACCAATTTACTGGCATCGATCCGTTTAGGACGATAGATTTATTGGCCATTAAAACTTAAGGTAAAATTAGCCTAAATAAGGGAATGTTTAGAGTTTGTTTATTGTTGTTTGAACGCATAAATATTAGTAAGGAGGGGCACGAATACATATGCGCGACACAAACCACTTGATATGTGTTTGGGCTATGATACTGCCCCGGTTCCCAGACAAGCGTGTGGTTTTCTTAGGTGCCACACCCGGAGCCTTTGACCTAAGGGTCTGATCCATTAGGCAGTGGAATAACGCCAGAAAATGCAGTCATATGATAACCGGTGACCAACAATCGATTCATACGCCATTTGTTCCCTCAGGATCCTGGAGCGCATGTGCATCATTGGTTTGTAATCAGGGTTTTCCAACTCCGCCGGATGGACCCTCCTTACCTACCAAGCCGGTTAAAGCGCCAGACATTCGTTTTTCTTTCTCTCAATTTCGTAAACAACAACCCCACTGCGAGAAGGAAGTTAGACTTCCCTGGTAGTGGCGGTCTACGCGAAGCCATGTGAAAGCATTTCGAGAAGGAGAGCGAACTCTCCTCATCCTCAGCTCGTACGTATTGAACAGTTAAAATTGGAATTTTCTTGTAGTCCAGTTATATTGGTTTTAACCTTTGGATAACTGTACCTTATAGTCAAAATAATGAACTTACCAATCATGTTCTTTGTTGTATCGGGTGTGTGGACTGCAGGTTATGCTAGACAGCGTTTATATCGATCGATTACAGTAGACACGGAAAACACGTATGGACGACCTAGTGCCCTGATTGGTCCCGCTTCGCAGTCTGTCCTAGCCAGTTGAGTCAAGAACGCAAGTCACAGCCTCTGAGTTATGAATCGTTGTATTTCAGACATACTTTGTTTATATACCAATCAAGCACACCACATCGTACCATAAAATAGGAAACAACATTTACAAAATATTTAACAAGTGAAATAAACATCGACCAATAAGAAATGTACATTTAAGGTCCAAGGACACCATAGACTTAACACGATAATTATTGGTATATTTTTCCGACTATCCTAACACCTCCCCTTTTTTGAAAGATCCGGAGTTAATATCTGGACTTTAAAATTTTCTGCGTCCGTCCTCCCCCGCGAAATAACGTTGGGTCCTCATATACCCAAGCAACAATCAGTCTGATTCTATTTAAAGCATATTTCGCGCATTGAGTAGAGGGTTCACTAAAAGTGACCAGATGATGAGGATTAGCGACACCAGACATGAGGTCATTAAGGTTTGATTTTTGTGCAACATATTCTTCAGACCTCTTCAAAATGCGATCACTGGATAATAGGTCACTAAAACAAACAGCATCTTTGAAATTCATATTAGATTTCTGACCATCATTTGATGCACGGGAAACATTTTCTGGCACGAGAGGTTCTTCTTGTAAGCTGGATACCTCACATGTTTCAGGCACAGTGGGATTTGAACCCACAACAGGGCATGTTTCTGGACTGGACAATTCTGGATCTCTGGACGGATCATGCGCGACTGCCACGTTTGCATTACTGATCATAAGGGATTCATAGAGGCTTTTGTTTTCATCTTCATATGTCCTGCAGTCATTCTCGAGTTCAGTATGCAGGTGAGAAAATAGTTCGTCAACCTCTTTCACATCTCCGAAACACGGGAGATTTAGCAGTCGCGTGCGCATATAGTCCAAAACTTTCAACTGGCTCTCTTTGAAACGATCTAGTAGTATCTGCAATTGATCGGAGGGGATAGTCATTTTCTGAATCAGCAGAGTAATGAGAAATACTGTAATCAACTAACAACCAATGACTCCCAAGGACGCCGACGAAAAATCTGGATACTGATTGGTCAGAACAATTATACTGAATCTCGTCCAATTACAGGGTTCAAAATTCTCTCTACCCCGTCGCCAATTGTTGTAACGCGTGTGTGGACTGCAGGTTATGCTAGACAGCGTTTATATCGATCGATTACAGTAGACACGGAAAACACGTATGGACGACCTAGTGCCCTGATTGGTCCCGCTTCGCAGTCTGTCCTAGCCAGTTGAGTCAAGAACGCAAGTCACAGCCTCTGAGTTATGAATCGTTGTATTTCAACATACTTTGTTTATATACCAATCAAGCACACCACATCGTACCATAAAATAGGAAACAACATTTACAAAATATTTAACAAGTGAAATAAACATCGACCAATAAGAAATGTACATTTAAGGTCCAAGGACACCATAGACTTAACACGATAATTATTGGTATATTTTTCCGACTATCCTAACATTCTTCATACTCAGCTCCCAGCAACTGTCGACCTTAATTGGGAATTGTTTTTTACCACCTTATATGATTTTCTTTTTCGTTGTATAAGTATTTGATACATACCTAGAAAACTGATTATTACATATAAGATTTCTGTGTTTACATCACTCTCGACTACTGAATTTATTTTTATGATGATTGTTTTGTCATTTTTTAGTCTTTAGAAATCAATGGCCTACCTTACCAACCGAATCCTACTAATTTTCGTACTGAACTAAGAGATCAATATCCGTACTTAAAAGATGCTTTAATACAACCATTGCAAAAAAATGGTCATATTTTAACTTATTCAGCCTATAATTTACTGTTTACACCTGGTAGTAAAGTTGGACCGACTCATACTGTCAGCTTGGTTGGGAAAAATGAATATGGCTTGGCTCGAGTATCCACTCTTGTCAGAGTACTACGTAAGATACAGATATTGTTGATGTGTTTTCATTATTGTTTTGATGATACATGTGTATGCATGCTTCTTCTATTCACTTAGACAAGACAAATATTTATAGAGTATCATAGTTTCGGAAAAAAAACTTCTGATTTGGTTGATAGCAATCGTCCTTTCTTATCCAGGATTATTATAAGGGCGAGTGAAAATGGGCTCAGATTAATAAGGGCCACTATCAAAAAGGCACATGTTAATCGAGGTGAGCATTTTTAGTGGTGTAAATTATGTTCAATTCGCTCTCTGCCTTACCATCAATTAATCAATTCTTCGAGTTTAGTAACAAACTGTTATTCATGTTACCCTAGTCATGTTATCTCGTACGTCTATTTCGAACAGCTAGGGGATAAACTATTTAGAGAAATGTTTCGAAAACTTGAAAATGTTCGATGAATTTCAAGTTGAATGAGTTATAAATGCTAAAAAATGTCTTTTAGAATTACGAGGTCACACACGACATTCGTCATTACATGTTTTCCCGAAAACATTGTTGATTGTCGACTTCTGCAGTAATAAGAGTCGAATGACTAGGTTTTATTTAATATTATTTAGATAAACAGGCAAAACATATTAGATGGACCTCATGGAATTAACATTATTAACATACGATTATTACGCATGTATATTAGGCAGGTTATCATGTATTCCGGTTACATACTCAGGCAGACACGTCCAAACATTTTTTGTCAAATTAATTAGTTTAAATGACGAATTCAAGTACATTGCAACAATATCTTATAGATGATTTCTCTGCAAAGGCGGTAGAAGTTTATCATTTCAAACTTGAACGATGTGTACAAAAACGTCGCGTCAAACTATCGTCATATCATGACTGTAATACCTCATTTTTCACGCTCAATTAATCGATTATTTATACTTCACCTTAATGATTTTGACTTTTAGTCACTTGTTGTTAAAACCATGTTTTTTTTTAATTTATTCATCTTTCTCATACTCCTCAAGTGGATAATTGTCTTCCACATGTTTGGTTTTTATCTTATTATTATTTTTTTTACTTTTCGATCGTTATGCAACTTTATTTCATCCCTTGAAATTGTATACTATTTATATTTTTGACAGACTAAAAGGGGTAATGAGCGTAAGGAAGTAAGTAAGCAACAGACAATCAAAATTCTAACCCCGACTTCCTGATACGTTGATAACTCTTCAACCAGCCTAAGAGCTTTTTACTACTACAATAATCGTGGCAACATTAACTGACAGAATATGGTAAATTAGAAGGGGATAACATCAATTTAACTTAGATGCAAATGTTACATACATGATAAAATTTTCGTAACACCGTTCAACATGTTTAGACGTGAATATTCAAATTATGTACTACTGTACGGATATAGTCTAGTGTCGATCTTTTTTCACTATCTACGATCAGTTTTGATACATACTTCTACCTCGCATTTTCTTTGTAAGTGTTGTTACTGGATTCATGCAACAGACGGTTTCATTTCCAATCCATTTAGTCTGTTAATTTTTCAGCGCATCAATAATTTTCTATATACTCAGATGAGCGGTACCAATAAGTTAGCTAAAGCTTCTATACCACCTAACACAATGTTTGTTTTAGGAAGGTCTTCTCCAACTTAAAAAATTGTTAATTCATCATTTGTTCATTGAAATGACGTGTAAACAAACCGTATAATACAAGTTTGTTCTACGTATCCCTGATAAAACTAACTGACTAATTATGTACTTAGATTGACATTATTGTTTCAAGACTGAAACTGAAATCAGCAGAGTAAAGCTAAAACCCACTAGTTTTGAGTCGAATGATTAAGTTGTTACCACATTGCTCTGCATGTCGATTAAATTCGGTAACTTGTATTTCTCCAGACTATAATCCGATAAGATCTGATAATCAATTACAATAATTTAATGTGGGAAGTGATTAAAGATTAATGACTCAGATTTTTATCTCAACTTAGCTCAAACTTTATTCTTATACAGTCGGATCTTACGGTAGCCAATCTATTTTATTCATTGAGTTTTATTTATTCTCCATTTTAGCCCGAATAAACATCTTGAAGGCTCCAAAAGATTACTCATGTACTACCAATTGCTTAAACACTATTTCACATGCATTCGATTGCGTTATCGATACGGATCCTTATCAGTCTACTTACTTTGTACAAACATGGGAATTAAATGGCATTCCCGTGTCGAAAATGACAAAAGATTATCAACAATCAAAATTTATTAAAACAGAAGGCACAAAGGTAAGTGAATTAATTCAATGATATTCATAATTGTTTTGATAGAGAAATAAATGTTTATCCATTGTATGAATCTTTTTATCATGTAATAACTATTATAATTTCATGGTTATAAGCTTTAAGCAAAGTTCACAAAAACTAACTGCAAGCTTAGTAAAATACCCATCTAACTAGTGGAAGTAAAAAGTAATTGGCCACTGAACGTAGATTTACAGATACAACTTATTATTTACTTTGTGATTTCCTTCCTATCATTGATGTCTACTCTAGACTTACGAAGTATGCCTGCTTGAAATGAATGGCGTTGATTAAAGTATTGGCTATCATGTACTCTAGTTCTCCATTACTGGTCGTAAATGGGGTATTTGATACAGCGTGATCATATCCGTGTAGAGCGCATCAATCGAGTATCCAGCTTAGTGGTGGCAAAATCTCGGTCACCGGTCATAATTTCGTATTCTAATACTGTATCGTGAAAAAAGAGAAATATATTTTATTCTTCCTATATATCGTATATAAATTATATTTTGTGTAGATATCAGAGGTAATTGTTGCTAATCACACACTTAAATTCGTTTCCTATATATACACTAAAATGAAAAGTCAGCTTTCTTTTCTGAGAAATTGACCCTTAGAACTAGACATTTTAGGTTTTATTAATATTAGTAAATGTAAAAGAATTTCAACTGTATTTATGACGGTCGTTATTTTTCTAGTTCAAATATATGCTTTTATTAAACAATTGCAGATTATTTTCTTTAAATATCGCAACAGCTTAGACAGTTCGCTTGCCATTCAGCTTTTACTGTGACTGTCTGGATTTTTAAATACCTTGCCTTCCTGTACAGCGTTCAACCTACATTAACAAGTATTCATCGGCTTCGATTGTTGCGATATATTTTTTTGTGTTAAAACAGAAGAACAATATCGTGTTATGTATACTTATATTTCTCAAGAAAAAATTAGGTTTTGATTTGAATAATTTATTCATTCCTGGGTAAAACCTACAATAATAAATATTTTATTAATGTATGGTTTATGTAGATGAAAATATGTACATATATGTTCTTTTATCTAGTTGATAATCACACCCGTTGATGATCCGTCCCTAACTGTATTGTTCCGAAAAGTGAATGTGACGTGCCGTTGGCGTATCTTTTATCCGCATGTGACTTCTCGTATTGCAGATCTGGATACAAGACTTTTGGAACCGAATATGAAGGTGTATGATTCTCATGAAGATGCAAAAATCCGTCCACTATTGACAGCAGCGTTGGATCTACAAGTGGATCATGACCCAACTCCGGGTTAGTTGGAACTTCCTCTTATTCTTCTATTCCTTCTAAAATTATTATTATTATTACTACTATTACCATTATTATTATTACTATTACTATTATTACTATTACTATTACTACTACTATTATTATTATTATTGTTATTGTTATTATTATTATTATCATTACTATCACTATTATTATTATTGCTATTATTATTATTATTATTATTATTATTATTATTATTATTATTATTATTATTATTATTATTGGATATTCTCGTTTCCTTTACATGATTTCTTACACATTTAGTTTCTTTCTTCTCTATCCTTTTCCTGCATAGCATCAGCTAACATATCTTGGATAACAGCTGTGATTATCGGTATCCTTGTTATAATTGCGATCGGAGTTCTAACTGCTTGTTTGGTCATGAGATTCCGTGGAGAAACTTATATGCGTAAGTTTATACTCAATGAGAGTATATAATGTGTATAATATTCTAATACGTTATTCATCGGAGACTGAATACTGCTAACACTTTCTATGACTTTAATTCTTCGATTGGGAGTTCAGAGTCTATGAAACGCTTACCAAGTCTGAAGTTTTGAGAACAGTTTCTTCATGTATACTTATCAAGGTATTGTAAGCTTCTTATTCCTCACGTGTATAACTGAACGTTTTTTCCCTGGGTAATCGCCAAATCTGTTCACTGGACTACCCACCCTAGTTGGCAAACTGTAGATCACTGTTGGAACAGATTGGATTGGACTGTTCTTATCTAAAGACTGAATGTGTTCACGTACCTCACCGATAAGATCTGGTCTAAACAGGAGGAATATGTATTCTGTTTTTCGATATCGTCACCCTGCTAGGCACTACTAACATCCAACTTCACGTTGGTACAAGTAGTATATCTTACTAGTTTCAGATAGCTAAATAATTTTAAGTTTTTACAATTTTACCTTAAATTACATAAGATACAGGTGTGTTTTAAAGCCTTCTTATTTTTTAAAGGACGATCTTGAAATTTCACCATTTATTTATTCCTTACCGCCCATATGTTATTACATAGATTCAAGGATTCATCGTTTTTTCCCATCTTTTATGTTCTCCACCTTCACATTATTCTAATAACTGTTACTGACTACCTGACTTTAATTCCATGTCGTAAATCTTTGTGTTATATACGATGAAGTGTTTCTTGATGCCCATAACTTGTGTTAGTTTATCTCAGCTATTTATTTACTCTGAAAAAGCGTCTTACATTAAGTCACAAAACGTCAGAGATACAATTTTTCTACTCATTGGGATATAGCAAACATATATTTATTTTTCCTCACAAAGTTTGAATAAATGGAAATGATTAACTACGTATTCAGAAGAGCATCTAGTTAGCTTTATCAGTAACCGTGTGCGGAGTTCCTCAAACTCTTAAAAATACTTAAAATTTAACTTTGTTAAGCAGATGAATCTGATGATTATGAATTTAGAAAGCCTTCATTCAGTTGTCATTCAGTTCTCGATCACTATACTCAATTGAAACAGTTCAGTATTTTAATTTCAAGTGAAGACGAATACACTTTTGATATTGCTATCGATTGGATCACCTGAAATCTGTAATCATAAATTTCTTGGTAAATTAGGAGAATGCAAATCTTAGTACGCCTGTTGCCCCTGGTGGAGCATAGGCCGCTGAGCAGGATTCTCCATCAAACTCTGTCCTGAGCAATCAGTCAGTCAGTCATTAACAACGTAGAACTCCGTACGTACGTACATCAGTTCGAGTTGCCACACCACGTTAGCACAGAGATGCAGTTGTCGATTCAAATCCCGTAGTGGTAGAGGTGGTAAGAGTATAAGCAGTAATCGGGAAGATTAGGGTTTGGAGATGTTATTTAAAGAGTATAATCCAATGAAATAAATTTGGAAAGAAGATAAAGGACATGGAGAATTCAGAAGATTAGAATTCGCGAAAACACAAAGAGTAGATGTACCTGCGTCATCGCACACGATTTTGAGCCATTTCATTCAGGGTCCCTATCCATCGGTTGCTATCACCTCGCGATCTCCAACTAGGTAGTCTATACTTACCAACATGGCACAGTCCACTTGTCAGTGACTTCATGGACTTGTGCCATGTTTTGTTCTGGCCACCCCTAGCTTTCTTCCAACCTACTTCTATACCATAAAACATCGCACGTCGAGGCAGTCGGTGGTTGGGTATACGTAACACGTGTCCCAGCCATCTCAACTGACGAAGTAGTAAAACTTCATCAGTTGAGTTGTCATCCTCACCTAGTGCCCGTTTCTTAACAACTGCGTTAATTACTCGATAGTCCCAGGATATACGAGCAATGTTTCGAAGACACCTATGATCAAATACTAGTAACCTACGAATATCCTCTACTCTTACCGACCATGTTTCACTGCCATAAAGTAGAACGGAACGAACTGCTGCACAGTAAACACACAAGTTGGCAAAAGCTAGTCGAGCCTTCTGTATCCGTGCTGAGATTTCGTCACACACCAGACCACAAGGGCTGATAAGACTTCCAAGATAAGTGAAGCGATCGACACGCTCAATTACTTCACTCCCTATCATTAGTTCGGGTGTCAATGCAACCCAATCCTGAAGCAACATTTTGCATTTCGAGGGAGAGAATCGCATCCCGAACATGCTTGCATTGTTACTTAGAGTGGTCAGACGACTGCATTTTGTCAGCGTCTTCACCAAATAGAACTATGTTATCGGAATATTCTAAGTCAACAAGTGAATCTCCTGGTAGAAGTTCAACCCCTGGAAATTTAGATGAAGAAAGTGTCATCTCTAAAAGCACGTCAACGACAAAGTTAAACAAGAATGGGGAGAGTGGACAGCCCTGACGAACACCACTTGAGGTAATCAATTCTGATGACAGTTCGCCATAAGCTCTCACTCGACCAGTTGTGTTCGAGTAGAGAGCCTTTACAACGTTAATGTACTTCTTTGATACTCCTTTCACTGACAAACACTGCCATAGAACCTCACGATCAACAGTCGAATGCTGCCTTAATGTCGAGAAATACTGCGGCTGTGGGGCGTCTGAACGTGTGTCTGTGTTCTAGAACCTGACGTAGAGTGTGATTATGTGGTCTATACAACCACGTCCAGGTCGAAAACCAGCCTGATTTTCTCTAGTCTGTTCTTCACGAGCTTTGGTTAGGCGTCGAAGTGTTATTGAAGCTAATATTTTAGACACTATATTTGTCAAACTGATTCCTCTGTGATTGTCACAAGAGGACTTTTATCCTTTCTTATAGACTGGCACAATCAGTGATTGAGACCAGACAGATGGGATTACGTCCAGTTCCCAAATTCTACCCAATACCTCAGTTAGTCTCACTGCTAATACTGGACCACCATCCTTAAAAATCTCAGGAGTAAACCTGTCAGGGCCTGCTGCTCTCCCTCGCTTCAGATTTCCTATGGCTTTTTCAACTTCGTAAAGAGTCGGAGGACCTACATTAACTTGCCATTCAGGTTGACTGGAGATCGTGGGAAACCGAAATGTGGCTGAAGGCTTGGACATGTTCTACGAATGTCGTCCCAGAGAATTCCACGTCGTGCATTATTTGCCGACTCTGGGACTGGTTGGAAGAAGCGGAGAGGTGATCAGTGCATGATATGGTGTCGTGGCATGAAAGAAAGCTGCAAAGGACTGGCTTGTGTTGGTCCTTCACGGCTCCCTGGTTGGCGTCTGAGAGATGGTGCTACACAGTGGCTAGAGACGTTATCAGATATGGCTCAGAATAGAAGCCAGTGGCGATCCTGCTGTAACCTTCTTTTACTTTCTTCATTAAAAAAAACAGTGGTTGTATCTTCCTTAACTGAAAGGTTTCTTCCGATTGTACCCGTCTGTTCCCCTACTATTGCTATTATTATTATTACACTACCTTACACCAATCTCTTCGTTATTGTTTATTATTTTTTTTTTTTACGTTCCTCACTTTTTTTCTTCTTAGATTCTCATTGTTTTGTGTGGCGCATATATATTCGGCGCACTCCTGTACCAATATATATGTGTTTAAATAAAATAATAAAATACTAGTAAGACGCAGGCAAATACGCGCTCGTACTAGAGCATGATCTGAATCTAAGCATGTGCTCCAGAATGAGCGACAGTCTTCTATCGAGCCCCTCCATCGGTGGCTGATAGCGATGTGATCTATTTGGGTCCAACGTTGGGACGAATTAGGGGGTCGCCATGTTAAAAGATGTTTTTCCTTATGCTTAAAGTTAGTATTTGCAAGGAACAGGCGGTTATCTGAGCATAGCTGCAACAGACGGTCGCCATTATCTGTTCTTTGAGCCACGACACCATAAGATCCACCTAGGTGTCTTTCCCTATCGCTTAGTTTACCTACTTGAGCATTAAAGTCACCGGCCACTATTACTACATCCGAGCGCCTAGCTTTTCGGAGAAGGTCGAAGAGCTTTCTGTAAAACTCATCTTTTACATCATCTGAGCTGCAGTCAGTGGGAGAATAGGCAGAGACGACGAAGAGGCAACGACGAGTGTCCCTATCTTTCCGGATTCTTACTGTTCCGTTCAGTCGGACAGCGCACAAACGACTGTCTACTGGGATCCACTCTAAGAGAGCTAGTTCTGCCCTAGGACTCAATGCTATACCTACGCCGGCGAGGCCACGGGAAGCAGAATCAGGGCTTCCAGATACACGAAGCGTAAATCGAGTCGGTTCTTTATTTTGGCATGGTGAGGTCAAATGAATGACGCTACTTGGATCCTGTATGCGCGTTTCGGAGACGCAGCACACATCGATGGCGCGAGATTCTAAAGTCTAGCTAAGGAAGCCTGCTGTCCTATTTGGCACAGTGTTCGTACGTTAAAAGCTCCTACGTGTAGTTTAGAGCGTGGTTTCAGGAGACCAGGAATGGCGTTCCACGTACTCAAATCGTTTGCCCTAGCGGTGCGAGGTGATAAAGAGACGTGAGGAGGGTTAGTCATGGAGATAAGAGAGGTATTAGGAGGTGTAGGAAGGATTTGAATGTGACCACCTTGGTCTCGTGTGCTGTTACGGGTATGAGGGCTGATGTCACTTCCCGGCTGCCCACACCGTGGAAGGGTATTTCTTGAGGAACCTGAAAAGGAAATTGGATTAGTGTTGGTCTTGACGACCTGGGAGCGTGACCGCAGAGCCCAAGGGACAACTGCTTGAGGCCGGTCGCGCACGGCCTTTTCGTGGAAGGTTTTTATTGTGTTAGCTCCGTTCTTCAAAGGGCCTTACCGCCGGAGACGGAAATCCGTGAGGTAAGGTGAGGTGTGACATTTTTAGGGTCGACCTTTTCTAACCCCACCCCTCCTTGTGGGAAGGCAGCATCGCTGCAATGCTGGTTGTCCGGGGAAACACCTTACTGCTGTCACACCCCTCTACAGTCAGCAGTACGACTTCGCCCTCAGACCTTGAGTTGCTGCTTTTAGTCTTACCGTTCTCCAATCGACCTGCCTGGCATGGTAGAACCTACAGGAACATATGTTCCAGCCAATATAGCTCGGTTGGGTCATCACGATAGGCAAGCCTGACCACTGTGTCAAGGTGGCAGCTACGGTCGGGCCTGAGCAATCATTTCCAGTTGTTTCCAAGTGTTATTTATTCTTTTGATGTCTGTCTCCAAATCCCGACGTATTTTGTTCTTTAGTCTACTACTTTTCCGTTTCCCTTCAGGATTTCAAGTTAGCACTTGCTTCTTGATGCAGTTTAGTGATTTCCGTGATGTATGTCCTATCCACGTCCATCGTCTTTTCCTAACTTCCTCTTCATTTGGAAGTTGGTTTCTTCTTTCCCACAGTAGGTTGTTGCTGATGTTATCTGGCTAACGGACATTGAGTATCTTGTGTAGACAATTTTTACTAAATACCTGTACTGTTTTGATGATGTTTGTAGTGGTACTTCAGTTTTCAATTCTACAATCGAAGTGTCTTGATGTTTGTATTGAAGATTGTGACTTCTATGTTGGTTGAAAGTTGTTTTGAGACTGTAGGAATGCTGCATTTTGCCAATCTTTGCCTTTACATCTGGATCAGATCGTCGTTTGTTTTAAATAGCACTGATAGTGTGATGCCTCTGTATTTCTCACGCTTGCTGAAATTTTCATCCGGATTTGTTACCGACAGTGACCTTGGAAGGGTTACAATCAGTTAGTTTAGATTGAAAATAGGGTGTATATATATTCAATATATGTGTACGCACGCTACAGTTCACGTTAACAATTCTCATTTCTTTAGAAGTTGTCACGTATTGAATACATATGATCAGCTTTATTTTGGTACCTACTGTTTTTTTGAGTTACCTTATGTCTATCATAATTGACTGTGCAAAATATCCTTATAAATACTCCCTGATTTATGGTTCGGTAAGTCATTTGATGCAGAAGTTTAAATTACAATTTTTAAAACTCAGTAAACAGAACCTTGTAGTTTTCTTTTTCTTTTATATTTCTAATATCCAGTATTACTGTTACCTATAGTACATTAGTTTATTGTACTTATTTCATTTATAAATATGACTTTCATCTGCATTGTGATTTACTTACCTCTTCAGTGGATCGTGAAGAACGTGCTCTTGGAAATGATCCAGAAAAAGAACTACGTGAAAAAGAAGCATTTCAAACCTATGAAAGAGCGTAAGTTTCCTTTTTGTTTCTCCGAATGATTTTTCTGTTCAGTTTCAGTAGTACTAATAAATTTAGTGGGAATTTTAGTTTTTGCAGACTGCAACGTATTTCCACGTGTATGCGTGGTTTTTTAAGAATACCTTGAAAAATGTCATTTCTTTCCATTGATTAGTGTTTAAATCAATTTGATGTATCGGTGTTTGACAAAACATCGGAATAAATACAAAGAGCTTTTTTGGTTTTCACTAAATTGCATCCTTTGTGGCACACTACAGATGTCATTCTGCTTCTCAAGTGATGAGCATTTTGTAATTAAAACCGCCGTGATCTACTTTATGGCTGTTGTGAAATATGGTCTTTGAAGTTATTGGACATGCACAGGTATCACGCTTTCGACTACAGATATCTTCGAAGCATTACTCACATGTACTGGAGTCTCATTGTGAGTCATGCTGAAATTAGACTTCGGGTTCTGGTTAGAAATGCCAAAACGATCAATGATGTAAAAGTAGCTTGTGGTGGTCGGTATTCGATATAATCCTTAAACTTCGTATACAGCTCGTCTTGATAACCGTTCTATATAACGTCCCAACGGTATATTAATCAGAAGACAAATACGAAGTGTTGATTACGTTTATTGCGAGACCACACACATATATCCAAATGTACAGCTGCGTTAAACAAGCATGGAAGAGTTGTGCCGAAAGGCAAGCAAGCGAGTGAGCGAATATGAGTAAGCGAATACAATCAAGCGAGCGAGAGCAAGAGCGAGACGAGTGTGTATGTTGTATATGAATAACATGGACATATGTATATACCTAGTGAAATGAATGAGTAATCGAATCAAATAAGCAGTTAGTAGTAAGACTAGCAGAGTGAATAAATGCGTAGGCCGTAAGCAATATTCAAGCATACATATTTCATACAAGCACAAATTAATAAGGCTACAATAAGTTGTTATAGTGCGAATGACTTTGTCCGCTAAATGAGTTAGCAAAAGGGCTTAACTGAGTTAAATGAGAATAAACTCAATTACACGTGTGTCACTATAATCCATTAAGGTGGTTATGACAAATGCAACCCAAGTCCCACTTACATCTTACGCTGACGTTAATTAGTAAAGGATTATATTGTAGGAATATTAGAAGCAACTAAGTTAGCACATTGTATCAGACAATTAGGTTATGGACTATCGAAAGAAGTACTGTTGTTTGTATTTGAGTCGACCTAAATCCCACCCTATCTATTTTAGTTTGAGGACCTAGATAGTATTGATCCTCCTAACAAACGTTGCTGATCGCTTACATAAGTCTACGCGGTTAATCAATCTATTTATTATCTTAAAACTCTTTGGAAAATGCGTTAAATAATGGCACCGTGTTTTATTTTTGATTCGAGTAAATTATTATCCCTAGTGCACTTTTGAAGTATATTTTTTATTGTGTACTTTCAAAGGTTTGTAAGCAGTCGATAAAAATCCATTTTAAGCAGTTGCGATGTGAGCATGTGGTTAGATAAATTTTTTCTAACTAAACTTAATCGGTTATTTTGTTTTAGAGAAGAACCGCCACTTCGAGGCAGTCGTTGTTCATTAAATGATGACAGTGCTGAAATTGGCAGTGATGGAGATGGTGAACTAGACGATTATAATCTTGATCCTGGTAAGTTGTTACAAACTTCTGTTCTCTACTTTCATTATATTATTCAATTGGTTGTTTTAATCAGTTAATTGGACGAGAGTACTATTCCTTAAGTGATTTTGATAAATTCACTACTCTAAAGACAAAGCTGCTTTTCAGTTTAGTCGTTTTGGCATGAATTTCAAACATTTAACTCAGAGTTTATTATTAGTAATAATGAATAAAAACACGACTCTCACGCGTTTTGTCAGTTAACCAAACTACCGTCGGTCTTAGCATTTCAGCTTAGAAAAAATTAAGTTGTGCATAATGATCTAATACTTAATAGTTTACATACTTTCTTCATGATCAAAGCGTTTTTCGTTTTCCTTTTGTAAAAAAATGTAATAGGTAAATTCAATGAAGAAGGCTCTTTCATTGGGGAATATGCAACAGAGAGACACAAGAGCCCATCAAATCGTTTACCAACTCTTGATCGAAACTACAATCCAACAGTTTAAATAAAGTAACACAATTCTTGCCAATTTTCCCGTCCCGTTTTTATTTGTTAATTTGATTTTTACCGGATCAAATTGTGGAAATCAGTTCTTGAAATTAACCAAGTGGTAAACAAGCAAATTATTTCTTAACTTTTTCTCTCGCCTGCAAATCAAAATATTCAGTTCATTCCTCATTCCCTCTAAAATTCACAGTTTAAGAGATCTATCTCATTGGATTAACTTAGTTTGTTTCATTATGTGTACTTACTCTTTTTTATTGTTTAATGTTTCCCATCTAGTTTAAAAAACGGGGAACGTTCTTTAATCTTACATTTTCTTTTTACGAAAAATAATTCCCTCTTTTGTTTACTTTCTCCTTCTTCGTTACTCCTGCCGAATCTCATTGTCATCTCCTTTTTTGGATCTGCTTTCTTTTATCGCATATTTTGTTTTAAAAAAAAAGATTAAAAAGAGCAAAAGCTTACATCATCAGTATATTCCAAAAATAACGCATCAGCTAGTCCTAGGATTCTTTCGTTTTCTTGTTAAAAAAACATATGCATTATTCTTACTAATTTACACAGCTGCTGTTTTATGATAAACACAACGAAAAAGGACAATTTGTATTTATTGTTTTGTTTTTTCCTCCTCAATTATACCTATATCATTTGACTGCTGTTAAAAATGCTTTTATTTAAATGATTTCTCTATTCTGCAGGACTTATTATTAATATTAATCATTGTAATGTTCAATTATTGTATTAACTATTCATGCCTATATGTGTACTGTTTTTATAATTGTTTGTCAGTATTAGTTGTATTTAATCGTTTGTCTTTATTATTACTTGTCAACTGTATCTCGACTTTTGTGCATTACTGTATTGTATTAGATGGATGCTTCTTTTCTATATATACGTTATTTGGTTTAAAAAGTGTTTTAATATTGACCATTTGTTGTGTCAGTCTACATTTTTTCATTGTCATTATTTAACCATCATATATATATATATATATATATATATATATATATATATATATAATCTGACATCTGTTCGATCTCATATGTTATGTACATACACGTTTTGTGTATGTGCACATACCAACACTGATGTATGCTATAGCGATTGTTGTTTTATACATTACTACTACTACTACGACTTTTACATGAACTATTAAGTTTAATACGAAAAATTACTTATATATATATCACCTTAGTTTATTTAACAAATTTTCGCTTTTTTTTCAACCAAAATACAAACTTTTGTTTATTTTTTACATCCATTTGTTTTTTCCGTTTTTATGCAAATTGTTAAATACTGTCTTTTAACTTTTTGTTGTTATTTTGTTCTTTAAAGATTAAATGATTATTAATGCTTTTTTTTGTATACTATTGATGTATGCTTTTTCAATAGTTTCTGTATAACCTATGTCTAAATAAGAAATATATATTTATAGTTACAATTAATCTTAATTGTTCGTAGTGCAAGTTAGTTGATTTATAAGAATACTGTTGACGTTGCAAATCGATATTGACTAACAGTGACTGATGTTTTATATCAAAGATGAATTCGAAACATCGATACCTAAATTTCCAATCGGTTCAAAGTTCTACAAGATATACAAATTTCTGGCCTTAAGATTTTTCATCATAAACAGGTAATCTAAGAGTAGGTGGTTTTAATTTAGCCTAGATACAAGCTTCTTGACTTAAACTAATGTAATGGTCCTCAGTTGTCATAAAGCTCTGTCTGTTGAAAGTGATCTAGCATCTAGTTCAGTTAACCGATTAAATTACATCAGATATACAGTGATATGTTGCCTTGATTGATTGTTACAATATACAAGAAAAATATGAAATGTAATTAGCTGTATTTGGCCTGTTTCTTACTCGTTTCACATTATGAACCTTCCAATCATTAGTCGAGTTTAAATGCCAGCATCATATTTTGAGTGAAATTTTATAATAATTGTAATTTCCAAAACTGATGCTTTAAAAGCGTTACCTGTTTTTCTGAATCTATTCAATAAAATCAAATGTGTAAACATAACTCAATGGTATAAGGTATTGGGAAGATTTTCTTTTTCTTGTAATTAGTTGCACTCGATTGATTTTTTCGTAAATTAAGTTTATTTTACTTAAAGGAGTAAAACTATATTATTATGTAAGAAAATATTCTTTTCATTTGCTCAACACAAAACCATTCTACAAAAAACAAACACTAATAATTCAATGGATTATTTTCAAATTTTCTCTATGCTCAGCCAACCAGATGGTTGGGGTATACTGATCCCATCGAATCTTTGTGGTGATAACCAACTTTCAGTTGAAATACTCATCATTATTCTAACCATATTCTATATTTTATACTTCCACAGCTAAATCGATCTAAACAATGGCTTTTGTATGTTTTTTTTGTTTATTTCCTAATTTGTAAAAACATATCCAATGATTGAAAATACAATAAAGTACTTCCAATAACTATAAAGCTTAGTAAAAATAACCTTATCCACAAGTCGTTAATAGCATAAGAAGTAAGACAAATATATTTATGAAGCTTCACATCATCTGTGTGCTAATTCAAATTTGGTAAATAAATCACTGTACATATTGCATGAATAAACTGAAATTTACTTGATTAACTTGTCTGCTTGTGTAGTACGATTTGATCTCACTCAAATCAATTCCTCAGATATAAATAGGACTCAATAAGTATGTTGTTTCAGACAGTTGATGTTTTTGTATTTTTAAATCATGAAATGTAGAAAAAATTTTCAAATCATTCATTGAAAATAGTTTGTGCAAAGAGGTACACCTTAGGCTAGCTCACAATTTCCCTTATATGAAAACTTTCTTTAAATAAACGATGTTGTAGTGCATAATATAAACGAATGTTTTACCAATTTGTTTCACGTGAAAGCCAATAAATTAAGTTTATCCTATTCACAAAAACTGAATCATCAAATCATACACTATTTTCGCAATGTACGTTATAAAACTTAGATGGAATCATATATAGTAGACTGATTTTCAGGGTTCATTGGATTGGTAGATGTGCATACAATTACTGACAAAATCAATGAGCTACTCAGGCATTGTCTGAAACGTTTAACTGAGAGAAGTATTTAACATCTTGTCTAATCTAATCGATTTTCGTGTGATGAATTTTGCAATATAATCAATGAAATAAATGGTTCTACATTATGGTAAGCCATAGAATAACATAAATCAGTAAATAAAATAATGTGTTACAAACGATCATTTCGATAAGCGACAGTATTATGATAGTCTTAACTATACAAGGTGTTTAGACAGATGTATTTATCTTATTTTTTTACTGACGATACATGGCAGTAAACATTTTTTTACCTGGACTTAAATAATAACTAACACTTAGATAATTCAAATGACCATGAACTTTAGGTTAGTGTTATTGTGTACAATAAATTTTTCGACTAAAGAATTCAATTTCTATTATTTAAAAAAGTTATGTGCAAAGTCTTTATACAATAATACACTTTAATAGTTCGTAGTAAAATCGTACTATTTAATTGGTGAATGTCCAATGTTCGTTTAAAATCATGTTCTTTGATAGAATGTAACTAGAATCGGTTGTTCAAACTGGGATTTTCTTCATTGACGGACTTCCTTGTTTATATAATACTAAAATGAAATCTAATAAAAATTTTATTTATAATTACCTCGCATTTTATTGCATATGTTTTTCAACTATATATTGTACGCCTATTTATGACAATGTGTGTTTACATTAACAAGTATTCACTTTCCGAATTATTGTATTTTAAGATTACTTAAAATGTTTCCATGATTCTATTTGTTTACTCTAATGTCCAAAAAGGGTCAGCTGAATATTTCCATAGGTATACTGCTAAATTAATTAGGTTTCACAGAGAGAAAATTTTAGGTATCAGAGTAGAATTTTAACAGTAAAACCAGTTATTAGACGCGTAGAAAGTGATCTTAATGCACCTACATTTATAGAGTATCTGATATGCTGTGAGTAGAAACCTACTGGAAAGTTGACGAGTAAAAATGACATGCAAATGTAAAGTTACTCTAGGTGCCTACTGATTATTGTGTTAACCGTACTGTCATATTAAATTTGTGAAGTATTTATTATTTTATTTGAACACATGAATATTGGTACAAGAGAGTGCCAATATATATGCGCCACACAAAACAATGAGAATTCGAAGAGAAAAGAAAAAAACGGTAAGGAGCGTAAAAAAAAGAGAACAATAACGAAGAGATTGGTGTAAGGTAGTGTGGTAGTAATGAGGGAACGGAAAGGTACAATCGGAAGAAATCTTTCAGGTAAGGGAGACACAACCACTTTTTATGAAGAAAGTAAAAGAAGGTTACAGCAGGATCGCCACTGGCTTCTATTCTGAGCCATATCTGATAACGTCTCTAGCCACTGTGTAGCACCATCTCTCGGACGCCAACCAGGGAGTCGTGAAGGACCGACAGAAGCCAGTCCTTTGCAGCTTTCTTTCATGCCACGACACCATGTCATACACTGACCACCTCTCCGCTTCTTCCAACCAGTCCCAGAGTCGGCAAATAATGCACGACGTGGAATTCTCTGGGAGGACATTCGTAGAACATTCACTTGATATTGTTTTACTTGAATCTTCCCATTGATGTTTTAGGACTGAAATTGATCAGTCTCTTATTGGCATATGTGCATACTGTGCGTACGCCTCGATATTGCCTTAATTTACAAGCATTATAAGCAAAGATGGATAGTGGCTAGCAGTGGAATCCAGGGCGCGCGTTTCGTCCTGTTTGGGACTCGTCAGCTGGATGTACCTGCATCTCAGAGTTGATGTTCACTCTGGGACTCGAACTCAGTACCGTTCGCTTCAAACGCCATCGCGTTATCCACTTAGCTACTGAGTCCTGATAGCCACTTGCTTGTGCAATGTCGAGGCATACGCACAGTATGCACATATGCCAATAAGAGACTGATCAATTTCAGTCCTAAAACATCAATGGGAAG